TTTTTTCGGGCTTGTAAGGGTTTTTGGTAGACCCACTGGTGTGACGGGGGGGTTGTTTTTTCATCCCCCCCCCCCCCCGCCTGGCGAATGGGCTGACAGCTACGGCATGCAAAACATGAGTGCACTCCCCAGGTCCGGACTTCATGATCTGCTTGTTGTCATGAGTGCGCTGAATCTATACAATTTGCCGTTTTGGGCACCATGGACAACACATTTTCGTCATCGCGCACAGCTGGGCGCTCGACTCCGCATGCCACACAATATGTCGAGATCCGGGTACACGCGTACTTTTTATTTTGTGCCGCCTTATCGCCGCTTAACCCCCCCCCCATTCTGATTCATGCTTCTGAGGGGTAGCCTGGGCCGGCGAAAAGCCGGCATATCGCTCCGTCCCGGCATCGTAGGAATGCAAGGTCTATGGTCTAACGTCTACGGCATGCATTTACATGAGAGAGTACCCCCCCCCCCCCCCCCCCAACGCGCTTGTTTGGTGTTCGTGTGTTGGTTGGCCTTGTGGCTGCAGGACGAGTATTCGATCAGCCTGCAGAGCGGGAAGAAGCCTTACCAAGAGGGGGACCACGCCAGCGACCCCCTCTTCACCTACGTCAAGGACTGCGTCTTTCGAGAAGCCCACCTACTCGGCCTTCCTCAAGCTCTTGGTGAGGGAGGGAAGAAGGCGGCGTGAAATTTGTGGTGTTGTGACTGGTGACAAATGGCGAAACATTGGTGTATATACCGATATGTGAGACAATTGAAAGCAATGCGATACGCCGTCGCCTGCAGACGACGACACATGAAGAAAAGCTCAAACACACAAATCAACAACACCGTGTGTCATGCGCAAAGCGGCGTCAACAACAACAATCGCATATTTTTTTGCATACAGTAAGGCATCTAGCAACAGCAGTCATGCGGCAGTGACAGCTCGACCAATAGAACGCTGTTGTAGGTGGACACTAGACATCAAAAATAAACCTGCGCGACAAAAAAAAAACATTCACCCTAGCCCTTACCCTAAACCTAAACCCGTAACCAACCCAACCACACCCTGCCAGGACAACTACACGGCGGCGGTCGGCACCGGGGAGGTGGTAACCGGCGAGGAACGGCAGGAAACCGTCGACTTCATCGAGGCGATCATGGCCACGCCCTGCATGCGCTACGCCCACGCCTACCTGGTCTCCAAGGGGCAGGCGCCGGAGTCTGAGACCGATTTCAAGGTATTTCAGATTATTTGTGTTTTTTGGGGGCCTGTTGGTGTTGTAAACCGTACCGGAGGTCTTGAAGGGGATTAATGGGGGAGACAAGACTCACGAAAGCAGCAGAGGAGTTGCCCATTTTTGTTTCGCAACACCTGCAAGTAGAGTTTTGATACCCTGCTCTAAGCGAGTGCTTCCTTATGGTGTGCTCTCTGGACTTTTTTTTTTTTTTGTTCTTCACTTCAAATCAGCGCTCACAGCACTAGTGCTGTTTATTCCAACCCGTGGTCACACAGAAGAGCCTCTCTCTACCCTCCCCTCCTGCGGTACTTCGCCTTCAATTTTTAATGCGAGAAGAGTTCAGGACATGCTCGATTTTGATTAACTGTACGGCTGTCAGAGGCACTTTCTTATTTGATTATCTCATGTGTAGCTTATGATCGCTAAAAGAACGTGCGTGGTTTTTGTCCTCTCTGGTTTTTCTTTTTTGTTGAACCTGCTGCACCAGACACTCCTAGACGTGCTTTAACTTCCCAGAGTTGGCTTAACTATGCGGCTGTCAGTTACGTTCTCTCTGGGGATGTATCGTGTAGCGTGCCTTGTGAAGTATCAATAATCCTGCGCTCTTTTTTGTCCTCCCTGTGTGCGTGTGTGTGTGTGTTTTTTTTTTTTGTCGTAGAACCTTCTGCACCAGACGTGGTTCGCCATGTACAGCAGGAGCCGTGGTTCCGATGACAGCTCGGGGTTCGAGCACGTGTTCGTGGGAGAGAGCAAGCGTGGCGAGATTACGGTGAGATGATGGTGTGGGTGGTTGCGTGTTGTTGTTGTGATGGTTGTTGTTGTTGTTGCTGTTGTTGTTGTTGTTGTGGTGGTTGTTGATCGTTGTGGTGGTGGTGGTGGTGTTTGTTGCTGGTGTTGTTATATGTTATTGTTGTTGCTGCTTGTTGCTGCTGCTGCTGCTCATGCTCATGCTGCTGCTCCTGCTGCTCCTGCTGCTGCTGCTGCTGTTTTGGTGCTGGCTGTTGCCGGTGTCGTCCTTGTGCTGCTCTTGTCGTTGTCCCACACCTTCGGCTTATTTTGCTTCGTTTTGTATTTCTGCGCCACAGGGTCTTCACAACTGGATCCAGGTCTACTCGGAGGAAAAGAGTGGCCGCCTGGACTACATGTGAGAAGTCACGTACACCTAGCCTGATACAGACAGCGTTCTTTTTTTCCCGGCCGTGGATGCTTCTTTTTTGTTGACCACCTCCTGCTTGGCGTGCCTCACGTTTGGTTTTCTCCTTCCCCCCCTCCCCTTCTGTATTGATCGATTATCCATCGGTGATCCGTCCTGTGGGAACAATGCTCCGTCCTCTCGAGGACGCGTGGTCAACAATCTTTACAACCATGGCATGCAAAACATAAGAGTACGCCTCCCCCCTGCCCCCGAGAAAAGGGACTAGTCTACATCTCTTCCCCGGTAAACGCGACTGCGTCGACACCCTCCCCCCCCCCCCCCGCGCCCGGG